CCTGGTGGCAGCCATATTTCATCAACTGCCACACAACATCTGTACAGAAAGTTTTTCCCTTGTTTAGGCTCTACATAAATGGCATTGGCTTCCCAAGTTATTACAACAGTTAAATGCATCTTATCTATAAAGCTTCTCTCTCCAAAATAATGTATTTTTCTGTTATTTAAAAGATTCATTTTGTTAAGATATGTCCATAATCACATCATTCAGATTCTGTGTGAATTCTGTATGTATTACTCAGTGATACAAAGTAACATACTCAGACTATTTTGAGATGACAAGTTCTCCCTTTGAGAATTAGTTCTTCTCCCTTTGAAGAAATAGTCCTTAGTTCAGGGATTTGCTTCCATTTCCACTCTTTCTCTTGATTTTTGTTCCAGTGTGGCTGGTAGTCTAAATACCAAGCCATAAATCATTTGTATTAATAAGCACAGAGGATTTTAGTGATTTTTTTAAGTTTGCAGATAAGCACAATTAACACAATAAGTCAGCAACAGGGAAAATGCTGACATTTAGTTAATTGCACAGAAAAAAAAATACGATTATTTGACTCTTCCTCCCCTTGGCCAAACTGCGCACAGCCTGCAGACCTTATCTTTACATGTTAACTGAGTGTGTTGTGTGAAAATCATAAATAATACTGAACAAAGCAACTGTGCAAATGTTGCAAGAGTCGGCATGACCTTTTGTTGACTTACATATTATTGTAAGAAAATATTGTAATATTATAAGAAAATTGTAGAAAAATATTGTAAGAAAGTATTGTATAGAATATTATAAGAATGCATTTCCAGTATTTATATTAAGGACAAAAATATGTTAGATGACCCACAGGAATCCACAGTCCTGGCTTCTCCATCTCATTCTGACCCTTCTCCACCTTTTCTGCCATACTCTGGTCTTCGACCCATGTTGTGTATCTCCCATGTGCTGTGCTTTCTGCTTTTGTAGGATTCTGGTTATACTCTTTTCCACATACTTTAAATAGTTTCACTAAAATTTCTATACCAGGAATGTATCTCACTTTAAATACACAAATAGTCTTTAATATAGTCACTGAGTTTATATATCCATAATCATAGTCTATTTGAGAACACTCTCTTGATTACAAAAAAAATCCTATACATTTCTTATCTGAGCACTTCATAAAAATGAGACTATAAAATGGATTGTGTCTTTTAACTCATTTTTTTTTACTTAGTATCATTTTTTAAAAAGATGTCTCTTGGTTTGCAATAGTTTTATTATTATTATCAATGCTATAGTCTCACAATTTTACAGCATGATATGCACAATCAGAGTGCTGATATCCTTCCATTGTTGTTCCTACGTCTTTTCTCACCCGTTACCCATCTCTTTGCATGTCAGACTCAGTTCAGTTGTTTTCACTGGTCATTGTCTATTCCTTTAACTTGTTTCTTTATATTCCACAAGTGAGTGAAGTCACCAGTACTTGACCTTATTTTTCTTACTCCATTTAATATGACATCTGAGTTATAATGAAACGGATGATTTTATTTTTTATAGAGTATTATCCCAATATAGACAGATATGTATACACACACAACACAACACAACACACACACACACTCACATACCCCATAATTCTTTATTGCACTCTTGTGTTGGGTCTTGGGCTGCTTACAGATCTTGACAGCTATAAATGGTCTCTAGCTTATTTCTTTTCGAATAGAGGTGTTCTGTGGGGTCATATGTTTCTGGAGATCAAATCCAGAATCTCAAATATGATTAGCACATGCTCTAGGGCTTGGAGCCATCTCCCTTGCATAGCAATGTTTTAAAAGTTTAGTCACCTTAGAGGAAGTACAGCAGTTAAAGCATTTGTCTTGCATGTGGACGATCTGGTTCAATTCCTGGCAGCCATATGGTTCTCCAAGTACTGCCAAAGGTGATCCCTGAGTGCAAAGTAATGGATGATCCCTCAGCACTGCCAGGTGTGACCACAAAATTTCCCCCAAACAAAACACATTAATAAAGTTTCCTCGATGTTTAAATATGTTTCAGTTCTTTTTCTTATAGATGAGTCATACTAATTTGTATGGATATGCCATATTTTATTCTGCATTCATTATTTGATAGACTTGTGGGTTTTTCTCTTTAACTTACCATGAATAATGCAAATATGTTGATTTCAGTAAAAGTTTTCAAATAAGACAGACTATTGTTATCATTCCTCTTGAGCCTCAGAGTGGAATTGCTAAATCATGTTATAACTTTATAATTAATCACTTAAATAACAGACTTTCCCAAAGCAGCTGCACTATTTTAAATTTCCATTGACAATGTATAAAAAAAATCTAATATTTATAATTAGAACTTATTATTCTAATATTACCTTGTTATTCCAGTACAATCTCACCAAAACTTGTCATTATAATCTTATTGTCTCTTTTATTATATCCACACAAGTGGGTGTGAAGTCATATTATATTTATATTTTTTCTTATATAAATATTCTTTTGGGAATTTATACACACTTTCATACACTAATTTTAAAATAATTTCCATGGGGAATCTTTGACCACACCACAAACTAGCTCAGGGCTGCTCTCTTTTACTTTTTTGTTCTTTGATTGGATGTTCCCCGACTCTATCCTCAGTCTCTAGCCAATGTGTAAACTACAAACCTTCTTGTCAAAAATTTGTTGATTAAATATTACAGTATCATAAGAAAAATTTGTACATTATTTGAAAATAACCTATAACCAAATTAGTATGTTGATTTGTTAAACTTTTTTATTTTCAGCATTCCTACAGAAAAGACTATTGATAAATGTTTAAATATTTTTGGCAAGAAAGCAGTCACTATAATGAAACTACAATGAATGCTTTTATTATCCTGAACTTTAATGAATATATATACTTATTTTTAACTAAAAGAAAGAGGCATCTCAGTTTTCACAGATAAAATGTTACAATTTTTTTAGGTTAACAAAAATTGCAATTTTTTTAAATAACGTGAACCCTAAATATTACTCTAAAATTACTCTCTTATAATAAGAAAAAAGACTATGCTTCTGAAAAATAAAAAACTTATGGGGAATGTACTTTCTAGCTTTGGTTGTTGACTGGATTTAAAGATCTCAATTTAGTAGTTCTGAAACGAGGCCCTAGGATATACTTTATTATCAAGACCAATGATGGTTCTAAGGCTAGGGCCTGTGAACAAAAAAAAAAATTTGTCCTCCTTTTAAGTCTCATTCTTTAGCAGAAACTGGTTAATATAAAAATTAATAAACTCAATCACTGGGATTAGTAACAGATTTAGATTCCTGGATCAGCATTTACCAGCTATATGGCTTAGGACAAGTATCTTAATCTTTCTAAACCATTTTATTTTCATCTTTAAATGGAAAGGGGGCATAAAAGTGTCTACATTATAGAGTGACCAAGAACATTAAATTAAATAATTCATGAAACAATAGCTAGCACACAAGAGATGCACAAAAGTTAGTTGCTAATATAATCATTTTACTATTACTATATATTCTAAATTATAAAAGAATATGGACAACAAATCTGTTTAAAATAAATATTTCCTAGGCATAAGTTTAAGTCAGTGGCTTTACCATAGTTGCTAATTTTCCAGAGGACACTGTCGACATCTATAAGCCTCATTCATGTCTGTTTCAAAGTGCCTCTCTGATATTTAAAGAATAAGGCATTTCTGAGGAAGTAAAATATTTTTTGAAATTTTTCATTTTTTTCAATTTTTCACACTTTGAAATATAGGTTGTCATCCACTTCACATTGTGAGCTCCTGTGCAATATAACACATTTTCCTTAGGTGTTATTTGTTGAGCAGTGAGGCTCTCTTTTTTCCAGTGAATAATTGAATCTGGATGCTATACTATTAGGATTTACTCTCTAAAACAGTTCTGAAGGTCTCATCAATTTAGGATTAATATCACTTCACAGAAATAATAGCGCCATTCAGTGGCTGGACAGAAGGCTCAAAGAGCTGGAGGATATGCAGGAGACCCTGCATATGTTTCATCCCTGGCACCACATGGGACCCAGAGCATCACAGACAGTGCTCCTTGAGCACCAATCCAAAAATAACTCCCAAGCATCACTGGGAGCTATTTTGGTCCCCCATCGCAAACAAAATAATGATGATAAAATTCTTTGCCACTAACAAATGTTTGTTCATATATCCAATTCTTATTTACTGAACGATCCGACAAATATTGGCATCTGTTTACAATGAAAAACAAGATGAGTCACCTTCACAGTCCTGGAAAGAGCAGTGGAGGCAGAAAAGCAAAAACATAGTGTAGACAGTATATCTGATGATGAAGTCTGTGAATGAAATCAAATAAGGTGGTATGATAGGAAACATATAAGGGGAAAATAGCTATTTTAGATCGTTAATCAGAAAAGGTTCTTTCAGAAGATGATATTTGAGAAGATACAAGAATGCAAAAAAGGACCCAAACAGGGAGGGAACAGGATGATTTAGAAAAAGAAAAGAATCAGTGGAAAAACCCTAGATCAGGACCATGATATGAACCTCAGTATAGACTGACGGCTCACTCATAATAGGGATTCAGGTTTGAGGTCAGATTCCCTTTCTCATTCTTTGTTCCACTCTTTTTGCTTTATAGCGACTAAGCTTTGTGAACCCTCATCAAATGAGTCCCCATCTCTATAATTTCTTTAATGAAGTGTTACATATGTGTGACATAGAAAGCTCCTGCATTGGGGCTGGAGTGATAGTACAGCTGGTAAGATGTTTGCCTTGCATGCGGTCGGCCCAGGTTCGATTACCAGCATCCCACATGGTCCCCTGAGCAATGAGTAATTCCTGAGTGCAGAACCAGGAGTCACCCCTGTGCATCACCATGTGTGACCCAAAAAGAAAAGTAAAAAACAAAAAAGCTCCTGTATCACCTCTCACATTGCTTTAGAGCATGTGGCATCTGATTTCTGTTTCATAGTATTTTTAATAGCTTTTCTTAAAACTGATTCTACAGGTTGCATCAGGTGACCTTCGAGGTCCCTACATGTGAGGGAAAAGGGCGGCAGAAGCTGGCGCTGATTGGCGACTCCTCATCTTCAGCAGAGTTCTTTGTCACTGTGGCTGTCTTCGCCTTCCTCTACTCCTTGGCTGCTACTGTCGTTTATATTTTCTTCCAGAACAAGTATCGGGAAAACAACCGAGGCCCACTCATTGTAAGTCGTTTGCTTTCTGAACCAACTCTTTCTGTCCCCTCCCATTTTGTTTTCCAGTCCTTACAAGGTTGTGAAGTGACCCATGCCCTTGAGAAAACTTTTTAAAGGGAATTACATCCTTTTTTTCACCAGAGCTCTTGTTTCTAAAATAAAACCAAGATTGTTTAAAATTCTTTTGTACCCATGCAGTAACACCAGAGTTGCTACAAACACCATTGAAATAAATTGCTAGAAGTTTTCACGAGCTCAAAGAAAGAAGAGTGAGATTTGGCACAGATTTATTTATACCGACAGCATTATGGAGGCTAACAATCGTTTTGCTTACTGGTTATTTAGACAGTGTGCCGTGCTCATTTGAAGTGTATTAGTCCCTCTGTATAAGACTACCTTGATGTAGAACCATACAGAAATAGATTTCTTTATCTGAATTCTCTCTCCTCTCTCTCCTTCTTTCTGTCTCTCTGCCACCACCACCCCTGGCCCTGGATTCCTACCAAGATTTTCCTTTTCTCAATGATTTGCACACTCTTAAATGGTAAAGCAATATAGACTGGATTGGCATATCTAGATACACACTCCTAGGGGGATATAAAAAACTCTCTGAGCGGCACATAGATATGAAAAATATTAGAAAAGTAAAAATGTGGATTTCTCAACTGTCACACATACATTTGCCTAAAATTGATCTTACTGAGAAGTACTGGTATTTGACAATATTTTGCTGTCTTTAAATTTGTTAATACATCTATACAACAACAAATAGAATTTGTGCTAATGAATGTCCCTTTGAAGAAATAAATAACATGTATTCCCCAAATATGTACAAACTAATAAAAACAATTTCATGCATGTCAAAATGTTTTCATTTAAATTTAATATTTATCAATTTATAGTATATTTACTTTTGACAGTTGTTTATTAATCATAGTTATGGTGATCACACAACTCAAAAGAAATTTTTGATACTTAAGCACTAAGTTTATAAAGTAATTTATATTTATACATATAATATTGTTACTAAGAAATCAAATGCTATGATCAATAAAATGTCTTACAGTATAAAAATTATATTTGACTCTATATGTATGAGGGAAGTATAAATGAAACTTAAGTTTAAAGGGAATGAGCATAATAGGTAATTTTTCAATAGTTAAAGGAGAATTTTTTCATAAAATTTTTAATGGGCAATAGTGTCTAAAATATTCCATTGAATTAATTTTTAAGTGCATACTATGAACACCTTTTAAAAATATTGGCACTTATTCCAGAAGTTATGTTTTTTGCAACTATAAAACTTACAATATAAGCAAAATTGTATGTAAGCTTTATGCAAGCATGAACAAGTTTTGGAAGTTATTTAAAGGTTTGTATGAGTAAAGTAAATTTTACAGATCTCTTATCTAATTTATGACTTTAGAGACGTGAATCTTAAACACATTTTGAAGAGTAACTCAGACAGAGCACTATTTATAGATTTTAAGTTTGAAAAGACTAGTGAGGAGTCATATTTTCAACTTCTTTATGAGTATCTTGCATAAAAAAGAATAATGAGCAGAACTCAAACCTATGGAGAAATTCTTTTTTTGTTTCTCAAATTGAATTTAAATATATATAATAGTCGCCTAACGGGTTCTTGCCTTCTGTACAATGCAGATAGATACACAAAAATACATTATTGTATTGATTCCAAAATTCCAACATGCACTTATTCATTCCTGGACACACAGAGATGCTCTGACAGAATTTTCAAGACGGAGATCACAGAGCTTCATGAGAGGAGCTGACTCAGTTCGTTTGCTCATAAAGTTTATTTTGTTATATAAAACTACTTTCTTCTTATGTGAAATAATCTTGTGAAGGCACACTGTTTCATCTCTGAGTAAATAGCCTCTCCCTTCAAGCAGGATATAATGAAATCCTGAATTGCGTACTACACCGGGTAGGTTTTGTTTTATTACATTGTGTAAGAATGGGAGGGGTGGGGAAAATATTTCTAGTAGTGAAAAAGAAAAGGCTCCTTGATGGAACTTCTGCGATATTAAAAACTGATGTACTCATTACTTAGAAGATCAAAGTTAATTTTAAAATGATCCCTGAGCCCTAAGAGTCACAGAAGCAGAACGAATGTCGAGGAACAGCAGAATACCTTGGTAGCTTGTGGGGGCAAGCCTAGTCAATTCAAATGGCACCACAAGGAGGCAGTGATGGAGGGAGGCAAGTGAGCTCTTGTACCTGTCCTTGATTGTAAAGAACTTCTTTAAGCAAATCCAAAGCATGAACACAATCTCAAAAAGATGCTTCATACCTAAGCAGACTTTTAAGTATTAAAAAAATATTTGCTCATCAACAGTAATTGTACTAGTTTAAAAAAAAGTATTCATAATGATTGATCACCATTACTTGGACAACTCTGTTCGTGTTACCATCTATTCTATGTTCTAATTCTGATTTTTCCAAAACATTTCCATTTGTTCCATAATTTGTCAATTTCTTCCAAGCCATAAAGGTAAAGGTAAAGGCCCTCCTGTTGTTCATCGATTTGCTCGAGCGGGCCCAGTAACGTCTCCATTGGAGATTTTGTTGTTACTGTGTCTGGTATATTGAATACATCACAAGTGGCTTGCCAGGCTCTGCCGTGTGGGCGAGATACTCTCGGCAGCTTGCCGGGCTCTCGGAGAGGGGCGGAGGAATCGAACTCGGGTCGGCCATGTTGGCTGCGTGCAAGGCAAACGCCCTACCGCTGTGATATCGCTCCAGCCCTTAGCACAGCGGTAGGGCGTTTGCCTTGCACACAGCCAACATGGCCGATCCGAGTTCCAAACCATAAATAAAATAGACTTTTAATCTATTAAAATACCATATTATGATGACATGAACTAATTCAAGCCATCTAAAGAAGTTGGGTGTTTTTTCTAAGCTAGTGAAGATCCAAAAATTAACAATTTCCTATTTCTAATGTCCTCAAAATGTATTATTAGACACTGTGCCAGAATAGCCTCAGAGTGCAGAAAATTAACAAAGATACATATTGGCAACGGTTTGAGTAATTTCAATGACCTAGACTGGTGTTCACTGGGGTTCTAACTTTTTTAGAGCTTATTTAATGCTCATGACAACTGTGATTTATTCTATCATTATCATTTCTAGCTGAGGAAAGGGAAACTCAGGTTGTTAAAATCTCCTAGGTCACATCACTTACAATCAGAAGGTAATTTTCAAGTTCCTGATAGACCGTGTATATGAAATTAAAGGGGTGCAAATTGGGTAAGTGATTATACTACTAGACAACTCCTATATGGTCTCACTTTGAAAATAAAGAAACGCAACCTTCTAGATCCCAGAACTTTCAGATTATTTAACTTTCATAGAACATATTTTTATTAACCTCCAAACTCCATTTGAAGTTAAGGAATTGGTCATTGATCCATGTCTATAACAACTAAAAGTTCTGCCTGTGCTGAGTTGATCCTATTGCTATGGAAGATGTCAGTGATTGAAAACAAGGTTTAAAAATGCCCAGGATCAATATATATCATAAATCATAGGTTAGAAGGACTGAGTTCTATACATTTGCAAGCAGTTGTAAGAAGTTTTGACAGACTAAGGACAAGCTTATCAATGGATACTTAAATTTTTTCTTTTTATTTTACTGGCTATGCTTGGTATAATTGTACACCTTTAAGTGAAAATGAGATCTGAATGTCTTTAGAAGTAACATAATGATGGTGAATGAGAAAATGTGAGAAAAATGGGGATAAAGAAATCAGCCAGCTACTTCATGTTACTACAGTAAGTGCCTTCCTATGTAGATGAATAAATATCATTTCTCAGAAAGCAGAAATGGCTATTTAAATGGTGCGTGATTGTGGAATTGAAATGTCACAACTGGTTATATCATTTTGTCATATTCCTCAGTGTATAGTTCAAAAGACAATCTCCTGCCTTGATTTCTGTGGCAGGATATTCTGAGCCTTTTTCTGATCTCCTGTCAAATAGTGACAGTTAAGGCATTCAGATTTTTTCATTAATATAAAGTAGATATAAAAGATAACTTATGGGGCTGACAGAGTGACCACGAATGAGTATACACCAGCCCATATTTGATAAATCTATGTCAAAAGAAGTTGAGTTAAGTTAACTACTCTAGGTGTTAAGAAGAATCAGTGAACACTTTGAGATTGTTGTGAAAGGAAAGAGTAATAAAGGAAATCAGATTGACCAAAATTGGTTTATGGGACTAGATACTGTTCACCCACTGCAAAAAGCAGTGCAATTAGAATTCCAATGTTTTCTGCCATGTTCATTCCGAATGTTTCATATTCCCCACCTACTTCAACGCGATCCTAAGCAATTACAATCAGTTTCATTCTACGGAATCAATTTTGCTCCTTTTTTATTGACCATCAGGCATTGGAGAATGAATCCCCAAGATATCCTTGCTTGTTTCCAGAGAAGTAGTTAATGGTATGAGATATCCTTGCTTGTTTTCAGAGAAGTAGTTAATGGTAGCTCATACTCAAACTCTAAGTCCAATAGACCTAAGAGAAGTGAGTTAGCCAGAAAGTTCTGCATTTTATTCCCTGTATGGTCTATTATATAACAGTTAGGAGCCTGTAACTTCTTTAGAATAAAGTTAATAAATATGTCATAGATCTTCTGAAAGGAGAGGTATGCAAAGTGATTTGCACTGGAAAAATTACACAGTAAGTGATATGTTTATGGTAAGGAATTACAGCACAATTATTGTTATATTATTTTTATAATTCTTTTCCCCATTACTCTTTAGTAACTCAGTAAAATTACTTTATTAGCTTAATAGTAGCTCAATAGAGGGAAGACAAAAGTACTTTCACTTACATAAATGTGAAATTCATCACAATTCTACTTTTTTGAGCACATATATCTATATCCAGACATCTTATTTCCAAGGGATAACAAATGGGTCTGGACCTAACCTTATAAGTAAAGTAAAGTAAAGTAAAGTAAAGGCCCTCCCGTTG